CCTGTTGCACGATCATGTTATCCACGACGGTGTCTTCCACGGAGAGCACCCAGTCGCGGAGATCTGGGTCCGCTGTGAAGCAGATGCCCAAACGCTTTGCGCCATCGTCTTGGAAATTACCGGGCTCCCAGAGAATCTCCACGGCGCAGTTGCGGCGGTAGAAAATTTCTTCACTGTCCTCGAGCGAAACATACCGCCCGCCCTTGGCGTTCGACTGCACGGGTCCCAGGGCAAGCTTCATGGTTCGAAGCGGAAGATCGGGCTTTTTTATTCGAACGAAAAAAAAGTTGGCCCGACGAACGCAGGCTTGATTCCTGCCCGGACGGCGAGTTGGGTGCCACGCAGTTTTTAGTCCAGGACGGACACACCCGTTCCGGAGAGCGTCACCAGCTGGTAGGCCACCAAATGAATGAACAGGTCCGTCATCGTGCCGTCCAGGCCCTTGAAGGTGAACCGGGCAAGGTCGCCCGAGCGGGTGCTGACACCACTCAGCGGCATCTTGGGCACGCGCTCGGTGGGAAAGCCGGCAATGAAGCTGTGGCGCAGGTAGCCCACGCGGCCGATGTCGATGTTGCGCACCGTGTCGTCGTAGGTGCCCGCGAGGACCGAGAGGAAGTGGAAGTGCTCCGAGGCTCCCTTCATGGGGTTGTGAGGGTACTGCAGGCTGCCCAGCTGCATCTGAGACTCCAGGAGGCTGTCCTCCTGCCTCGCCGCGCCGATGGGGGCCACGTCCTGCCCCGGGTTGGCCAGCAAGTGGATCTTGGAGCCCGCGTCGTTGTCCCAAAAGGTCACAAACGCGCCCATGAGTTTCGTGAAGGCGCGCGCCACGGTGACGTTGTGCTCCGCCACGCCGTTCGGGACGCTGGACTGCTGCGTGTGCACCGTGGGGTAGCTGAACACCAGGGACCTTCCTGAGAGGAGCACGCGGTTGAAGGACTCTACCAGCGCAGAGTCCAGGACGACCTGGGAGGCCAGAACCCGGACGTTCTGGATCTCAAAGTCGGTGCTCAGTGTGGCTCCGGACGGGTGCGCCCCGGCGTTCTCGGACCACAGCGCAGTCGTGGCGTCCGCGAACTCAATTTCTATCACCAGGTTCAGCTGCGGCGGCAGCATCTTGCCGCAGCGCAGGATGCCCACCATGGTGGGGCGCAGCAGCACATATTCTACCTGAGAGGCTCCTAGCACTTGTCCGTCCAGCATTTGACCTCGTCCTGCAAAGGATTCAAAGTCTAAAACGCTGCGTGCAGGCGTGTGGCTGCAAAATAATGACCCCTAGATACGCGCCGCAGTTTGGCTCCAGGTTGCATTTCAAGCGATGTCACCTTTGCCAAAGGAAACCCCTTCCCTTTTTTTTCGGGGATCCCTTTTTTTGGGACCCCTTGTTTTCTTTTTTTGTTTTTTCTTAGCCCTGCAAAGGTTGGCTCGCTTGAAATGCAACCTGGAGCCAAATTGCAAGATATCTAGGGGTCATTATTTTGCAGCCACACGCCTGCACGCAGCGTTTTGAATCCTTTGCGACAAGGTCAAATGCTGGACGGACGGCCTCTCAGGTAGAATATAAACCATTTGGGAAACGCCCTCTAAAGAGAGAGCCTTCTGCTTGCACTTTTGCAAGGGTTCTCAGCTTGCTTCAATATTCAGGCAAAACGGGTCCTAGTCGCATTCTGTGCGTCTTGGAAGTTTAAGTTGCCCGGGCTTAAAGTGCTGTTTCTGGCCTCGTAAGTGCGTTTCTGTTGCGGAGCTTTGGGGTCGAAAAGCATGATAAGTGCTTTCTAAGCGCAACGGTAACTCAGAGCAGAAGGGTGGAATTATCTTGGCCTTATTTGCTGCATGTGAGCTTGGGTTGCGTTTCCGTCAATCCTGCGCCGGCAACAGAATTGCATTGCTGGGTTAGGGCAGCCGCAGATAGGCCAGCGCGTATACTTCAGCTGCCGGCCCGGAACTTGCGTAACGCAAAAGGACGAATGGGGAAGATCAAGCTTTTCCCCACGCCTGAGTACACCAGCAAGCAAGCCTCGGACCCCGTGGTGCCCCTGGTGCCATGCACGGGCATTTTTCTTGGGCCCAGCAAGTCGGGCAAAACTGTGGCGCTCATCAGTCTCATCCTGGAGCAGTACCTTAAGGCGTGGTTGAGCGGATCTACGTTTTCAGCCCAAGCGTCAACATCGATGATGGCTGGATCCCCGTCAAGAAGTACATCGAGCAGGACCTGGGGGTGAACACGGAGCGTGAGCAGGCTTACTGGGACGAGTGGGATGAGTCCGCCTTGCGGCGCATCATCCAGCAGCAGCGCAAGATTACGGAAGCGTCCAAGAAGTTGGAAATGAAGAAACTGTACCAGTCATCGACGACTTTGCTGACACACCGAAGCTCCACAAGCCGCACGGCGCCCTTGACACGCTCTTCATCCGAGGCCGTCACATGCAGATTAGCGCCTGGGTGAGCTCCCAGAAGCTGAGGCTCATCAGCGCTGCCGTGCGGGTGAACATGCAATTCCTCTGCTGCTGGAGGCTGCGCAACCTCGTCGAGGAGCTGAGCGCCCTGCTGCCGAACCGGCCCCCTAAGTCCGCTAGGCCCCCTAAGTCCCTGGGTGCCCCGGGGCCTCGCTGTTCTCTCGACCGCCGGGGTCAGTTACGGCGCGCTCGCTTACGTCTGACATCCACGATAAAAAGAACGCAGTTTTCGAAGGGGCAAGAGTCCCGCCCGTGCCGGGGTTCACCTGCAGGTCGCGGACCTCTACCAGGCCGCATTGCTTGCCCTAGTGGCGATGGTAGTCATCTTGACTCTTGCTTGCCGGTCCTTTTTCTATCGGGCGGACAACAAAATGGTCCGACCAAAGGGACGGCCCTTGGCTCACGCGGCTCGAGGGCCGCCATTTCCGGAAAAAAAACACCATTTTGTTTGTTTTTCCGTAAATTCAGCTTTGCATGGTTTTTGAGCGTGATTTTGCATGACAGGTTGCCTTGCGTTTTTCTCACGATTTTCACGTTGTCGGTCGTGTTTGGAAAGAGCTTCCCCAAGCACGTGAGCCTTGTGAAGGCGAGATTCGGGGACGTTCTGGGGTCGGGCGGCAGGGAACCGCTCGCAGGTGCAAAGGCGTGGTTTCAGACTCACAGTTTTTTCTTGACCTCACGTGCCCTGTGCCCAGACTTCGACGTGCAGATCTTCTCGCAGCGCCGCGCTTTGGAGTTGCCTTTTTGTCACTTTTTGTTGGCCGCTTGCAGGTGGATCCAATTCGTGCTACTGGGGACTCTTTGGCTGGGCACCTGTGCGGATTGGTGTCAACTCGGCCTTTGAGCAGTGTTTCAGGTTTGGTCCTGGATTTGAAGGTCGTGTTTTCGCGCTTCCCCGTGCCAGGCTTTGTTTTGACATCGAGGCATACTGCCCGGACCTTCGCTGCTTCCGTTGTCATGGCCATCAATGCCAACTGATCTTTGAGGTTTGGGTCCCAACTCGCCAATCTGTCAGGCCCCCTGATCTTTGGCCTAGCGAGGCCCGGACACCCCCCCCCGTCCCGTGCCAGGATTTGCGCGACTCGCGTTGCTTTTTTGCGTGCTTTTCCCAACCCCGTCAAGCCGCGCCGTCAGGCCCGTGTATCTTTGGAAATCGTGACCTCGTTGAGCCAGGCCCGCATTTTGTATTGTCTCTCCAACCTGGTGAACCCTTGACCTTGAGAGCGATTGCCCCAACCCCGTCAAGTCGTACTGTCAGGTTTTTTGTAAGTCAGGCAGCGTGGTTTCCTCAAAATCGCCTTTTTTTTTCCTGGCGCTCAGGCACTGCGAACTTTTGAGCTTCCGCCCGGGCCCTCGCCGCGTTCCATTGTCATGGCCAAGACGTCCCATGCAGGTTATTGTCATTTGATCTTTGTCACCAATCTGTCAGCCCCCTTGATCTTTGACCCAGTGAAGCCCTGACGGTCCGTCCCGAGGGTCCCTGCGATCTTTGTGGTTCCTGGGGTCCCTGGGGTCCCTGGGGTCCCTGAATCCCTGGGCACGCGTGCGTCCGCTGCAGGTGCCATGAAGCAACGTCCTTCCATCAAGACGTCTGGCCAGGGTCCCAAAGTGCATCCATCCTTGTCAACACACGGCGTTTTCAGGGATTTTAGGGATTCCAGAAACCTTTACGGACCTTAGGGGCCTTAGGGACCCTAAGGGACCTTAGGGCCCCCATAGGGACCTTAGGGACCCCAGCAACCCTGGCTCTTGGGGGCAAGAGATCCTGTGAAGTGTGAAGTCATCTCTCAAGCTTCGGTTGGTTGCAGCTTGCCACGCAAGGGGACACAAAGACGCGCGGAAGGGCAAAGCTTCTGTTGTTTTTCCATTCGAGCAACTTGCCATACATCTATTTATCTTCGTGTACTCATATTTATTTTCATACATTTATATCTTCATATATCTACGTATTTGCGTCTCTTTATGAATTTTCATACATTTATATCTTTGTATTTCTACAAATTCATATCTTTATATCTTTGTATCTTTATACCTCTCTCTTTATATCTTTAGATCTTTATGTCTTTGTGCCTTTATGTTGGTATGTCTCTACATGGTGTTTTCTACATCCGTGTTTGTAGTCGGGAGATGATGTTGTGGTGTTGTGGCCCATTTGCAATGTGTGTGTGTGTGTGTCTTGGCTTCGGCATTTTGTGTTTTTGCATGACTCTATGATGTTGGAGAATGCCCAGGCTGAGTGGTACCCGGCGTGAAGTTCTTGCCAAGATCCCTTCAAGCCCCAAAACCCTTGGGGCCACCAAGGATCTCTTGAAGTCCCTGGGTCGCTGGGTCCCTGAAGTCCTCGGAGTCCCTAGGGTCCCTAGGGTAGGGTTTGCAGGGTTGCTAGGGTCCCTAAGGTCCCTAACGTCCCTAGGGTCCCCAAGGTCCCCAAGGTCCCTTAACCCGCCGTGTGTTGACAGGGATGAGCGCACTCTGGGGCCTTGGCGAGACGTCTGATGCACACGTGTGCAGGGACCCCAGGGACTCTAGGGACCCTAGGGACCTTAGGGACCTTAGGGACCCTAGGGAATGTAGGGACCCTAGGGACCCAGGGACCCCAGAGGCCCCAGTGATCCCAGGAACATCCAGGGACCAGGCATCCCAGAAACCCCCGCCCTTCAGCCCCTGGCGGCCCGGTGCCGATTTCGGCTGCTTGTTTTGCAGGCAGGCCAGTTTGGTATCTCGCTTGGACTTTGATGCAGCGGCAGGATGTGGGTCAGCCAGTCTGACGGATGGACGCTGCGAAGCCTTGCAAGGCTTGGCCCGACCGACCTTCAGGCCGCGAGTGAAAAGGAGGAGGAGCATCCAAACCCGTGCGTTGGTGTTGCCAAAGAAGCCAGTCAATCTTGTGTTTGCTCTGGAAACTTGGCTCGAGGGTACTCATCAACACTGACACAACAACAGCTCGCAATGGTTGCCCGATGGGTCTAGTGCCAGTGCTTGAGGAATCGCAGGCCGCTCAAGCGCTTTTCGAATAGCCATGGCGATGATGCGGACCAGGACCAAAAGCCGAGGCTGGCAAGCTTGTGACGCTACCGTGCCCGCGGTAGGCAGCGGCCAGGTATGTGCCTCTGCCTTCTCGGGATTGCATTGGCGCTGCTCGTGCAGCCGAGCACGGCCTGGGTCTTGGGACACATTTTTTTCGAAGGTTTTCGGGTTTCAGGAGTCCCTTGTCGCCGCCGCCCAGGACTTTGCTCGAGGAGTTCCTGGGCTGAAGGAGCATGAAGTCCCTCCTTTGGATGTTCTTGTTTCGTGCTGAGTGCCAGGACAGCATGTTGGCCCAGTTCTCAGAGTTGCCCGCGGGCGCAAGCAGATTGCACTTTGGCTCTTTCAGGCAAAACGGCACCCGTTGCATGCCGGAGTCGCTCGGCGCGCCGGGGCTGCGCAAGAGGACTCCTCCGACCCGAAGCCTGTTCGCATCTTTTGCCGGTTGCCGCCAGGACAACAGTGCCGAGGCCGGGGACACGTGCATCAGGCTTGAACGCTGGGCTTGTTGGCTGTCAGGACCGGCTCGATCTCGAGGAGGCGGCGGGCCTTCAGAGAAAGCGACGTCCCAGCCTTTTCTCGCTCAGGTGATTTCAGAAGCTGAACGGGTGCTGTCGGCGACGAAGAAAGACATGCAAGTGGTCATGCGCCGCTTTAGCAGCACATTGGTTGCAGCAGGCGTGGTGAAATTTTGAGCTCAGGAAAAGTGCAGCTGACAGATCCAGGGAAGTGGAATGATTTGGCGACTAAGCCTGAGTTAAAGCAGCAGCTAAAGAAGTTTGTGGCAGAGGCAGGAGTGTTTGCTTGTTTTACCAACAGGTCAGATTCACAAGCGCTTTCGTGACATTCTCTGTGCTGCATGTTTGTCGTGGTTGGTTTTCAGGCCAAGGCAGCCCTAAAGGCCTTGGAAGAGGCCGTCCGTCCGAGCGCACTGCTGCTCGGCGTGTGAGTCTTGCTGGGCAGGACCTGCTCCTGGCGCGACTGCAGCAAGCGAGCGCCCAGCGGCAGGTTGAGACTGCCCAGCAGCAGGTGGAGATGGTGATGAAGAGTCTGGTTAAAGCCGCCGCCAGATTGGAGAAGGCGGAGGAATCAGGCACCAAGGAGGAGGTCAAGGAGGCCAAGGAGGAGGTCAAGGAGGCCAAGGAGGAGGTCAAGGAGGCCAAGGAGGAGGTGGAGAAGGCGGAGAGGAAGGTGGAGAAGGCGGAGAGGAAGGTGGAGAGGGCGAAGAAGGAGGTGCAGGCGGCGGAGAGGAAGGAGGCGAAGGCAAGCGGCCGGACGAAGGAGTCCGAGGCGGGCGGAGTCGATCGCTTCCGCCGGCCGGCTGCGTTCTGGGACTCTGATCGTTGTGTGGTTTTGAAATTCCCCCCGCGGCCCGCAAATGCTTTCAGTGGGGCCCTGATCGCATCCAGAGAACCAGGAAATCCCAAGATTGCATTTGTGCAGATTGCAGCGCTTCCTGTCTTCATAGATTTCAACTGGCTGCATTGTTGGCAGACGTGAAACGAATCAGTGTGGAGGCCCATGAATCGATGGTTGCCCTTCCTTGCCATTCGGGGAGGTCGTTCGCTGCTGCCGGTCGACAATTTTGAAGACGTGCAGTTGTTGTGTGTGGTTTTCGATTTCCCCAGCCCCGAAAATGTTGTTTGTGGGACTGCCCTGATCCCATCCACAGAACCAGGAAATCCTGAGTTGCGTTTGCGCAGATTGCGTTTGCGCAGATTGCGTTTGCGCAGATTGCAGCGCTTCCTGTTTTCATAGACTCCAGCTGGCTGCATTGTTGACATTCTTTGAGACGTGCCGTTGGTCGTGTTGTGTGGTTTTGATTTCGGCCCCAGCCCTGGAAATGCACTGAGTGGGGCAGGCTGCCCTCATCACACCCACAGAACCGGGAAATCCGCAGATTGCGCTTGCAGAGCCCAGCGCTTCCTTTTTTGGAAACTGGCTGCATTTTGGCAGGCGCAGTTGGACTCGGTGTGCAGCCCCCTGAAACGGATGGTTGAGCCCAGCCACACATTCCCAGCTTTGTGTCTATGGGCAGTGCTGCATTGTTTGGTTTTGTTCGGTTTCTGTTCCCCGCCATTTCTTGCCCTCCTGCTCATGATGCTCATGGGAGGCGAAGGCGATCGGGCCCAGGGAAGACCTCGTTTAAAGCCGCCCTGACAATTCGACTTCTAGAGGTTTGTGCCCAACATGGAATACTTACCCAATGTTCAAGAGTCTTTGGGTAGGGGAACCCTGCGAGGAGCTTTGCAGACGTTGGTCGGTTTGCAAGTCTTGGGTAGGTCTGCAAGAACAGGGTCTCTCCTTTCGTTTTCTTGCGCGCCATTTTTCCCAACTCCAAGATGCTCTGTTGCCTCTTGGGCCCCCGTTTTCTACTTCTCAGTGTGCAGGAGCATGTGGAAAAGCTGGTTAAGAAGTTTGCGGGGGCGGAGTATTGGGCACGCCCGACACCACGCTTTGGGAAGTATGTGCGAGGCGAGAGGCTCACTTGGCCTGGAACAGACTTGCCTTGCCCGGGTGAGTTGCCAAACGCTTCCCGGACAGATGATGGCCGGACCACAGCGTTCGGCATTGGCAACGCCTTTGGCACCGGGAAGACGGAGGTTGCGATCCGGAGTGCCGAGATGACCTGCGCAGCGGAGCCCGGCTTGAGAGTCGCTTACATCTCCTTCAGCAATGGATACAAGAGCAAAGAATTGGCTGACTCCGTGGAGGACAACAGCTCGAGGGCAAAGAGGGGCAGCCAGGTGCTCGGATGCAGCAAATACTGCGGGCTGTGGCTCATGGCAGGGATGCGGGCAACGCGGGTCATTGACAACGAGGTGCAGGGCAATGCGAGACTTTTTCAAGGGATTGTTGCAGCTTACATGGGAAATCCTCAGTGGAAGCTTCCTGGCTATGTTGAACAAACCGATGCCAAACTAATCGTCATTCTTGACGAGGTGCAAGAGTTCGCCTTCGGCACACTGGAAGGCCTTGTTAGCATGATCGTTGTGCCGTCAAAGACTCGCATGAGTCTTGTGGTTGGTGCTTTTTCACCGTCCTTCTTGAACCCCTCTGGCAATCGACTGCGCGATGTAAGGCTGCCAGTATTAGCACAGGATGACATGGAGCAGATTTTCCAGGACAGGATTCCAGGTGCGCAGATCAATTTCGAAGGAGTGTCATTGCCGGGGCTCTTCGGCGGCTGTGTGCGGCCGCTAGCCAGTTGGTCCTCTGCGAAAGAGGAACTTGGAATGAACCAGGACCCCACCCAGTCCTGTCTTCGCCAATATGAGACATCCAGCTACTGGACGACGGCGGGCCTCGTTCAGGCGGCCGTTGCGGATGTGCCCATCTGCTCTGAGATGCTGAAAACTGCATTTATGCAGGACAGCCTGAGTCTCGGCGCCGCCTTCGTCTTACCCAAAGACCGGCATTTCCTTGTTTCGCTGCCACCCTTGCAGATTGCGGCAGGCCAGTTCGAACTTCCAACTGAGATAGATAAGGGCACTCAAAGGAAAGTTCGTGACATACTGACAGGTTTTTGCTCACCTACATGGACGCAGTTCGAGGAGCTCACGGGCATCGCGCCAGCTTTGCGAGTTGCTGCGTTGTCACAAAGCAACATGGGCCTGATTCTTGGTGGCCATACCGTTCTGCAGCATGTCTTTGGAAGCGAGGCCTCCAATACCAAGGCCCAGGAACTGCTCAGACAAAATGTGAGGGAAGATCTCGCAGTGCGTTGGGTCAGAGGTGGCACAGATGTGGCAGCAGTGAACTTTTCTCAGCTCAGTTGTGATGCTGGCGAGAAGGAGCTGCTGACCATTGGCATGGCCGCAGATCACAATTCGAACTTCGACCACTTCCTCATTGTCCCGCTGGACAATGGCGAGAAGCTCTTGTTCTGCTTAGATGCAAAATTTAGCGTGGAGGGTATGGAGAAGGACTTGAACTTCGAGCAAGACATTCAGCCCAAGCTGAAGGGATTCTCAGCAATGAACCTTCCAACAAGTTGGCATACTTTGGTCCTTATCGTGTCGAATCGCAGGATCACTGAAGGACAAGCAATACGTGTACAGAATTTTGCAGAGGCACCGCTAATCGCAGCAGGGGCGGAGCACCTGCAGCGCGTGCTGTCGTGCTCTTTGGTCCCACCAGCATACAGAGAGCGGCGGCGAAAAAAGCAGAGCTAGTGGATGTGAGTGGGACGCTGGTGCATGTTGCAGCCAAAACACCGCGAGCGCTTGGGATTGCAAGGCGGGGTCATGAACCTGAACGAACAGGGGCTTGTAATGCGGGGTTGCAAGGGTCGCGTCGGTTCTCATTGCAATCCCCATTCAAATTATTTTGACCTCGGCTGCGAAGAAGCCATTGAAACTGCATCTCTAGAGTCTGCGTGTGTGTGTGTGTGTGTGTGTGCTTAGAAGACCTGAATTGAAAAATGTTGGCGTGCCTGCCGACGGGGTTTTGGGGCGAATCACACTCCGGGATTCGTTTTTGTCATAGGATGCTTAAGGCTTGTGGAGGGTGGCCTTGACTCCTTGCACCCCGTTACACAAGAAAAGCTTCCCCAAAAATGGCGTGGTGAAAACGATCTGCTTCGAAAGCGACTGGTCTTGGAAAGCGGGTGATGGCAAAAAACAACTGTGCGTCAGCAAAGCTTCACACTCTAGGCTGTCAGCGGGCAAGCGCCAAAAGGTCGGCCCACTACGTCCACTAAGTACTGTTGGGTCCATCAGGCCCACTGTGTCCACACACCATACGCCTCGGAGAAGCCATCCTTCTCCATGCAAACCATGCACAAGACATGACGGTCGTAGTGCTTCGCATGCTGAGTGGGGAGTTTGGCGAAGTTTGCAAAGCCGACGTGCAAACAGCCAGGTTGCTTTTAGCGTTTCCGGCCTCTACGTTCAGGCCAGGTGGCGTCCAGCGTGTTTCTCACATGGTCGGGGTCCTTTGCAGATGGAGGATCCGATGAGATTGTCAGCGCTAGCAGGCCGCTGGCCTCCTCGCAAGCCTCTTTGCGACAACGTGGCTGCGACGACCCAAGCTGCTGACAATTGGACGACTGCCCCAAGTTCGAGCCCTCCATCTGCTGCGATATCCTGCAAACTACCGCACCTTTCCACTTCCAGTTCGTCTGGGCATCGCCTGTGTGCGCCGAACACTCCAGAAAGACCCGCGCGCACGCAGGCGTTGTCCCCGGAATCCTCGAATGCGCATTCCAGGATACTGTTGAAGCACGGCAGTTGGTACGACACGCGGCGCAGGCCTCGCAGCGTCTGCCGCAGGATGGTTTCTACGTGTACGCGGCTGTTCCGGTATTGCGTCGTCTCCGAGGACACCACCCACTCCCCCTCCGGGTCGTAGAAGTACGTCTCGTCGCTGAGTTCCATGATGGGCGCCCTGCCGGCGGCGCGGTCGCAGCGTCTCCTGCTTGACGTTTTGCAGTATTTGCTGCTCCGACAGCCTGTCGGGCTGCCGGCTGGCCTCCCCACCCAGGACATTTGCGGGGAGCCAGTCCCTGCGCTCGTAAGCCCGGCCCGCGTTTTTGCCGGCCCGCCGCATCCCCCTGAGGAGCACTGGGATGTGTGCTACGTGCTGCGAGTACTTGTTCTTAGGCCCCGCTGCCCGTTCTGCAGTAGCACGTAGTCGGCCGCACCCTCCCTCACCAGCGGCTGCCTTGGGTCGAAGGTCCTCGACTCTGGCTGCCGCCCGAGCATGCCGAAGTAGGCCTCCCCGGCCCTGGTGACGCTCCCGTCCGCGCGCTGGAGCAACGCGTAGGCGCCTCGGCCCCGCCTCAAGCCCAAGACACGGCTTCCGTCATCCGTGTCCCGGGCCCTCGATCCGGCCTCGACCGCCTCCCTGATGTGCTCCCGCTGCCTCGCCCAGGATGCCATTGTTGGGTTTGATTGCTTTTCTTAGGCTGGTTAAAAAAAAAGTCGTCCGATCAAGGTGGCCGCTCCGCCCCCGGGTGCCTCAAAGCGCGCGGCATCAAATGGATCTTGATGTGTGGATTTTGCATGACATTTGCTTGGTGTGCATGGTTTTGCCTGACCCCCTGTCTTGAGGAAGGTGACGCCCTCGCCGAGCTGACGGAGCTGACGCTGTCGTGTCGTGTGTTGGGGGGGGGGGCCACTGCGAAAGTGGCGGCCGCTGTACAAGTGGCGGGTGGTGCGACCACTGTTCAAGTGGCAGGCCACTGTACAAGTGGCATGGAGGGGGCCACTGTGAAAGTGGCGGCCACTGTACAACGGGCACAGTGTCGTGGATCGAAGGTTGTGACGGGGTTTGCGTGGTGCTTTGCTATTTGAGCAAGTGGCGGAGTTGCGTGACTTGACCTTGACATTTTTATTTTTCACGATTTTGTGGCATGTGGTTGTTTGGATGGGAGGGACACTGCATGAGGATTTGATGCCTGGAGGACAGTGGTTTGAGCGGCAACTTGGCAACCCTCCCCTGTCTGGCGTGATGGACCCTGCGTGCCCCCTGTCTCCTCCCCTGTGCCTCGAGTGGTCTGGGTGCCCTGGGTGCCCTGGGTGCCCTGGGTGCCCCGGGGCCTTGCTGTCACCCGGTGTCAGAGCAAAATCACGACCAGATGGAGCGGCCCCAAACGAGTCTTCGCGAACCTGTTCTTTTACGTTGGTAATCCGCGATTAAAAGAACGCCGGTTTAGAAGGGACAGGAGTCCCCGCCTGTGCCTCTCTCACCTCCAGCACCAACCCGCACTGCTTCCCCATGATCCAGACCTGCCGGGCCTCGATGTTGGCCTGACACTTGCAGCCGGCAAGAGTCTCGGGCCTCTGGATCTTGCTGCCGTCGGTGTCCCAGAAGCGGACGTTCCGCGCGTCCAGTTTGCACTTCAGGAAGGTCGCTCCCCGTCGGGACTCCTTGAGGCAGCTCTGCCACCTGTCCTTCACATCACCGTAGTCGCCCCAAACGCGGCTCGACTGCAAAGACAGCTCGATCCCTTTCCATCGCAAGGCAAGCGTTCTGCCTGGTTCCTTGGTCCTTGCCGAAGCTGCTGGGCTCCCAGAGGACGCGCGTCCACGCGGACTGCCAGACGATGGGCTTCCCCTCCTCGCACCTCAAGGGCGCCGACTTGGCTCCCTTGGGGCTGGTCTGGACCTCGCCCAGGGCGACGCTAGTGGCGATGGTAGTCATCTTGACTTTGCTTGCCGGTCCTTTTCTTATAGGGCGAGAAAAATAGTGGTCCGACCAAAAGCGTTTGGTCGGCCCTCGCTTCAAGCGGCTCGAGGGCCGCCATTTCCGGAAAAAACCTGTTTATGTTTGTTTTTTCCGGAAATTCGTTTGGCATGGCACGGCGTGGTGTTTTTGCATGATTTTCATGTTGTCAGTCGACTTGTGAGCACTTGAGGGCTCTGTGGTGAGACCTGGCTTGCTGCCGCCTTTTGAGGGCCTTACTCGGGGTCCGGGAGATGGGAGCGAGCCGCTCGCGGGGGTGTAAGGCGCGGTTTCTCGGCCCACGTGCCCACGTGTCCTTGCCCTTTGCCCGCATTCAGGGTGGCCAAGACTCTGGAATTTGCTCGGCCCTTGGAGTTGCCTTTTGTCACCTTTTTTAACTGCCTTTTCACTGTTTCCGTTGTTATGGTCATTGTTGTCAGCAGATCTTTCAGGCCTAGGACCAACCTTGATCCCTTTGGCCCGGCGAGGCCCGTGTCCATGACACCCCCGCCCGTGCCAGGATTCGTTTGACCTACATGCTGCCTGGGCCTGTGCGGTGCGTTGGATGTCGATGGTGCACTTGCTTTGTTTCGACTTGATTGGTGCCACTGCGCATGTGCTCGTGCTTGGGTCCGAGGTGTGCTGGACCGCATCCTGCAGACCTGGCCGGCCGGGGCCCCCACTGCGTTTTCACCGGAACTGTAGCTCCCCCCGTAAAGTGAATTGCGTCACCCCAATTTTCTGAGTATCTTGGTTTTGAGGGCGCCCTGAGGCGATCTTCGGGGTTTTGGGTGATCCTTGTTGGCGCTCCCGGACACTACCCCCCCTACGTTTTCCTTGTTTTCCGGTTCGCCAGGTTTGGATGATGCGGGGATGCTGCGATGATCCTACGAGTCTGATGCCGGTGATGCCGCTGGCCATTTTCGGAGCTCGGCTTTTTGTGTCGGTTTCGCCGCATTGGATGGTTCTGAGATGCTGTCGTGAGGAACTGGTGGGACACTCTTGGCATCGAAGCCGACATCATCAAGGCAAGCAGAGGGGTTTGTGGGTCGCGTGGGGTCCCTTGAAAACCTAGGATCCCTGGCCTCTAAGGTCCCCGGCATCCCTGGCGTTTTTGGGGTCTCTGGCTGGGTCCCCGCAGTTTTTGGGGGTTATTGGGGTCTTTGGGGTCCCTGGGGTCGCTCTCTTGTTGGACACCCTCCAAGTGAATTGCGTCATCCCTGAGGCGATCTTCGGGGTTTTGGGTGATCCTTGTTGGCGCTCCCGGACACTACTCCCCCTACGTTTTCATTGTTTTCCGGTTCGCCAGGTTTGGATGATGCGGGGATGCCGTGATGATCCTACGAGTCTGATGCCGGTGATGCCGCTGGCCATTTCGGAGCTCGGTTTTTTTGTGTCGGTTTCGCCGCATTGGATGGTTCTGAGATGCTGTCGTGAGGAACCGGTGGGCGGCTCTGGAATCTCTGGGGTCCCTAAGCTTTCTGGGGTCCCTAGGTCTGCAGGGTCCCCAAGGTCCCGAAGGTCCCGTCCGTTTTGGCGGTAAACAACAGTCTAGCCCTATCCGGCTTTCCTACCAAAAGCGGTCCTCTGGAAGCCTTTTTTCGAAATAACTGCTTCTGGCATCCGCTTTCAACCCAATGAAGGGGAAGGCCCTCGCATCGCAGATTGAGATGGACCCCGAGTCTAGAGAATCCTTTTTCAGGGACCCAGGGACCCCAGGGAATGCAGGGACTCCAGGGACCCCGGGGACGTAGGGACACGAGTGGGTTGATTGATTGCTGCCGATGACACCACAGTTTTTCAGGGACCCCAGGGAATTTAGGGATTTCAGGGACCCCAGGGACCCCAGACCCCGGGGACTCCAGGGATAGCAGTGGGTTTGCTGCCGAGGCCATGACGACCACAGCCAGAGCCGAAAAAGTCAGTGCCTTTGCAGTTTGAAAACGTGCTTGTCCTTGCAGATGTTGCTCAACATTTTTGCCTCTTCCTTCTTGATGCATGACCCTGCCTTGACATAGAAGCACTGGCGTCTAGAGCGCCACCCATGGTTTTCGACTTGGTTGCAGGCTCTCTTGGGCGCGGGCGGGTGACGACGGGCAAAGTCGCTCCCATGGGATGACCTGCAGGGCGCTGTCATTGCAGGCGATGCTAAAGCCCAGGGCGTGGCCGATGCAGTGATGGGCCAGAGCAACACGGATGCCGGGAGGATGGAGGTGCTGAAGCAACTCATGGAGCAGCAGTCCGTGGGAGATTGGAGGTTCTTGAGGCTGGAGACCAGCAGCTCGTCTTCTGAGGAGCCAGTGGAAAGCGAGCCCTTGGCCAAGAAGCAAAAGATCGAAGTGAGGAGGATGAACAGGGTGGAGATGCAGGAGGAGCTGAAAGCCCAAGGCGAGCCCGTCGAACCTGGCGCCACCGTGAATCAGCTGAGATCTCAGCTGGTGACGGCTCGCAAGTCTGTGGAGACGCCCATGGGCGCGGCTGAGGTCCAACGCGGTGGAGATGCAGCAGGTGGAGACTGAGGGCCAGGAGCCCCTGCCGGACAAGGTGAAGACGCCCGTGGACGCGGCGGGTGACCAGGAGCCCCCGCATGACATGGTGGAGACCGCGGATGCCGCCCAGCCCGAGGAGAGCCGCAGTGTTGTGTGGGTCTTGCCCACCTTGCCAGGCTCCGCGCGGTTCCAACAGTTGGCCGCGCACTGCCCGCCAGCAAGAAAGAAGAACAAGTCCTTGTACGTGGACCAATGGCTTTTCGAGCCGATCAATGTGCATGCCCTTGAAGGAGCGGGAAGCCTCCGCGCTTTCGGCCAGCTGGGTCTGCGGTCGCATAGCAGACCTGCTCTCGCGGGACCGAGAACAGTGGCATGATCCTCACGATCTACCGGGACAGTGGCTGCCACGGATGCAAGGCTCGGCTTGTGTCTGGCGTGCACCTTGAGGATTACGAGGAGCTGGGGAAGAACAAGAGCAAGAACAAGAGGCAGAAGGTCGACCCCGAGACCGAGACCAATGAGGAGGAGCTGTACGGCAGGTTCAGGGAGCTGCCGCAGGTGGTCAGCACCTTGACGGAGATGCGCATCGACTCCTATGATGCCACCCGGTCAGCCTTCAGCTTTGGTCAAGGAGCTCTGCCGGACAGGCCTGCCGGTCTGCGACATCGACCAGACCTTCTCGGTTGGATACTCCTTGCTGCACCGGCACGCTGACGCGCAGCAAGTGCGGTATTTGTTGCAGAACCGAGAGGCCGTGTGGGATTCTCTTTTCTTTCTTTTTTGTAAAGGTTTTTTACTTCCCTTCCCTTCCCATCCACGGTGCAGGCCTGCTACGCGGAAGTCGGGGTCCCGGACCGGGATGAGGTGAAGAAATTTTTCAACGGCATCCTCATGGGCGGTGGCAGTGAGCACTGCGAGCGCTTCATGCTGCGCTACAAGCTCGAACATCTCCCCCGCTTTGTGTTCATCCTGAGACAGGAGATGTGCAAGTTGGCGGCCCGTGACGCACAGGCCTACCCGGAGCTTGCGCAGGAGCTGAGCAAGGACGGTGGAAATTGGAGGAGCCGGCTGCTGGAGCTGCTGCACGAGCTGCGGGAGCGGGAGGTGACGGACATGATGGCGCGCTGGTGCCAAGGTCTGCGGCTGGGAGTATGACGGGGTCCTCTTTGCTTGCCCCCCGGAAGAGCATGCCAAGCTTACGGAGTCCCTGCAGCACAAGATTGGCTTGCCCCTGAAACACAAGGCCTACCGGTCTCTTGAGGAGATCCTGGCCGAGTACCAGCGGCTTCACCCGACCCTGGACTGGCAGAGCAGAGATGATGATTGGTTCCAGGTGGAGCAGGCGCTTGGTTGGGGCGGTTGTTCTTTTGAAAGCATTTTGGCGTCTCAATTTCGGGTCTCTTGCTTTCTATCTCAGTCCCTCCGCCGCAAGGACAGACGGCTTCTCCGCGCCTACTTGGTGAAGGGGATCGAAGGCGTCGACCGACTTGTTGCTGCGATCCTCCCACACCATGTCGCTCCAGACGGCAGGCTGGTTCGCGAGTGCTTCAAAAACTTCAGCTGCTCCAAGCAGCACATGGAGACCGCCTTCTTCTGCACCGTCAAGCGACGTTGGCAGCGGAGAGCCCGGCGCATGTGGAGGAGCTCCTGTGCGAATATGCCAGCCAAGAGGTCAAGAACTGCTTGCCGCCCACCTGGCGCGGGCTACCGCCGGCCTCGGTGTACCGCAGGGAATCAATGCGCTCCGTTGTCAAAACGGCGGCAAACCGTGCCCTGTACGACAAAAGTTTCCAGCTGCAAGTGGACGGAGACGAGTACAGGGGCCTGCTCATGACACAGGACGGGTGCTTGATCGACGTGCGGACCATGGACGCGCAGCTGGCCAAGCAGGAGCACGTCATCACAAAATGCTTGGGGGTGACTTACCCACGAGAGCTCTTTGCGATGTTGGACCGGGACCTGGACTTGGAGGAATGCTTGCAACAGGTGAAGGACTTCGAGAGCGGGGTCGGGCAGGAGTACTGCGCTGTGGACATGCCGCCTGAGCTCGGCGACAAGTTGCTGAAGTTGTTCGAGCATCCCGCCCTCGAGGCGTGCAAGGTTCTCTACAGTTGCTGGGAAAACATGGCGGTCACACTGTGGTTGATGAAGTGGGCAGCGCATAGGCTCTGCGGCACGTCCCAGCTGGAGGAATTTCACATCTATCTGGGAGGGGGCAAGAACGGAAAGAGTTGGTGGATCGCGCAGCTGCAGGCCAGGGACGGGCCCCCAAAAATTTATCTTTGTTTTTCATTTCCCACCCCTGCCAGGCTTTGTTCGGCACGTACTGTGCGATGCCCGACTCCGATCTCCTGACCCGCCGCTTCAACAGCCAGCAGGCCACTCCGCAGCATATGGCTCCGGGGAGCTCGCCTCCTGCCGTTTCCGGAGATGAATGCCTCGCATCGGCTCCAGGCCGACACACTGAAGTTGTACAGCGAGCACAAGACTGTGATCCACGCCCGAAACCTCTTTGCCGACTATGTCAGCTTCCGAGTTCAGTTCGGCCTGGTGATGTGCTCCAACGAGCGGCTGCACATGTCTCTTGACGGGGGAACCGACAGACGACTGTCGGTGGCAGAATGGCCGATTCAGTTCTGCCAGGTGCCGCGTGCCAGCCACGAGCGGTTGGTGCAGGTCGGGCTCAAGGACGAGCAGAGGCTCGCTGACAACAGCCCAGGGCTTCTCTACGTGCTGCTCAAGGTGTTCAAGGTCTTCGGCGCTGTGCAGGACACTCTGGTTCGACCGTGGCCGCTGTGGGTGGAGCAGGCCACGCGCAGCTACCTGCAAGGCGACTCAGTGGAGTTTGTGTGGGAGTCTTTCGTTGAGACCTGGGAGATGGCCTCGAGGCCGTCCATGGAGTGTGCGGGCTACGGAGTGGTGTCGGATGCCTGCGTTGCCTTCGCCAGGACAAAGAACGTCGGCGTTTCGGCCGCCGGCAGTCACTTCAAGCAGGCAATGCTACGCCACAAGCACAATGGCCGCTACGTGGCCAAGTTCCTGAACGAAAACCAGTGCTTCAATCAGCCCAAAAGGGCTGCGTAGAGTTTTGATTTTCCAAATCCGGATGGCTGTCTAGTATAAAATACAGCTTACAGCGCCATTTCAAATGTATTGCGCAAGTGGGCTGCAGCGCTTGACAGACATCCGTCTGCGGCTCTTGGTCGCAGTGAATTAATTCAATGTGTCCGTGCGACATCTCTACATCTCTACATGATGTAGAATACAGAGCGGATCATGCTTGACACGGTGATTGTGTCGCGTGTGACGTGTGGATGAAACCAATCGTGGTTGGAAAAACAATTGAGCTTGCCTATTGCCGAGACCGCCTTGTTGCAAGGATGGAGTGTAGAGTCACAGAAGCCAAGAGTTGGAATTCACATTGTCACATGCCAGACTTGCCACAGTGATCATTGCAGCATGTATCAGAAGAAGACACAAAGAGAGAGAGAGAGAGAGGGAGAGAGAGAGAGAGAGATGCCTGCAAAACGCCTAGTCCTCCACCCCCCTAATAAGCCACTAAGACGCGATGGTTTCTCCCCAGCCGCATTTGCGGCTGTTCTTTGGGGGTGCTCCCTAAATGCGCGTTCTGGCTCGAAGTGCTACAAAGTTGCCAGCTGGAGAGCGTTTGTGCTTGTGGCTCGAAGTGCTACAAAGTCGCCAGCTGGAGAGCGTTTGTGCTTTTGGCTCGCAGTGGTAGAAAGTCGCCAGGTGGAGAAGCGGTTGTGCTTTTGGCTCGCAGTGCTACATGGAGAAGCGGTTGTGCTTTTGGCTCAAAGGTACTATCAGCCGTACAGAATATCAACCGTACCAAAGCTAGTCGATGGTTCTGGGCCGGCGGGGCTGCCCCAAGAAGTCGTCCAGCTGCCTCGCCGCAGCGGGCCTGCCGCGCCTCGTCAGCCGCCCCGCAGCCGGCAGGGCCAGCTTCAGGAGAGTCTCACGGCCCTCGGTGCCCCTGACGGTCATGGAGTCCACGACGCGAGCTGCTGAGGGTTGAAGCTCCTCGCCGCGTTTGTCGGCGCTCGGAAGGCGCCCGCGTCCTCTATGGCCTTGATGCGGCGTTCCGTGAGGTCCTTGTTGTGTGCTGGAACCGGTCGGCGTTGTCTTGGAGCACACGGAACTCCGTGGCCGGCTGCTTCTCGACGTCCTCCGGCGCAGCGTGCACCGTCTCGTGGGGCCGAGCGTTGTACGCGTCCGCCACCTGCTCGAGGTGCTGGCTCCACCCGCCGCCCTTCCTGGCAACTCGAGTGGCCAGGTCCTTCTTCAGGGTCTGGATGCCCCGGTCCACCACGGCAATGGCGTTGCGGTCCTCGGGCCGCTTCGTCCGGTGCACGGCTTCCACGGGCAGCTCCCGGTCCAGCGTGGCAAACTCTTTGCCCAGGTCCGTCGTGACCACGAAGTTCCCGTCGTCCCCCGTCAGCTCCTTCGCGGCGCGCTTGGTGGCCCGGCCCACCGTCTCGGCGTTCTTGTTCTGGGGAGGTTCCGCTGCAGCCAATGAGGTCGGCCTGCAGCCGGTCGTTCGGCCCCTCGGCAGCAGACTTGCCCAGCGCGCGCGGCCGGGGCGCCTGCCGGACGTCGGCCTTCAGCGCCTCGAAGGCCATGGCCTGCGTCACGTCGAGGGCCTCGCGAGTCGGTACAGCTTCCGCGGGTCCCGCACGTTGAAGTCGTCGGACCACGCTGCAGCCGCTGCTGGGGCGAACCGTCCAGTTTGACAGTGAGACGTCCGTGGGGGCCAGGATCTGCTCTCCTATGGCGGCCACCACCTCGTCGGCCCCCCCGTCGTCCGGAAAGCGCACTGCTATTTGCAGGGCCGAGGCTGCCTCCGTGACTCCGAGCTTGCCAGCCAACAAACCGTCCACTTGTGCGATGGTGTAGTAGCTGAGCAGGGCGGCGGCGATGCTTGAGGCCGTTGCCGTGTCCTGGTCGGCGGCCGAGCGGTACGCCACCAGCGCGGAGGTGATTTGGTTGGTTGTGAAAACATCCTGGTCCGGGCCCGTCCGGTAGGCCAGCAGCGCGCCTGCGATGGCGGCCTGCGTCTGCGTGTCCTGCGCGCTCGCCGTGCGGTAGTCTCCCAACAGGGCGTCCACTTGTGAGGAGGTGTAGTAAGCCAGCAGCGCGGCTGTGATGGCCCCGGTCGTCTCCGCGTCCTGCGCGCTGTGCGGTAGTCTCCCAACAGCGCGTCCACTTGTGAGGAGGTGTAGTAGGCCAGCAGCGCAGCCGCGAGGGCCGCGTCCGCCGCTGCGACGGAGTAGCAGTCGGCCGTGATGCTCAGCGTGTCGTCGCCGTTGGCCAGCGCAGCAGAGAGAGGAGCCTCCAGATGCAGGTTGCGAACGACGTTGCTTCCGCGAACGAGCTCCCAAGTCGTGAAGCCCGCCCAGGCCGGCGCGTTAACAACTCCGCCTCCGGAAAGCTGCAGGGCGGCGAGCTCCGCGAGGATTGCGTCGAGGGCGCTCTGGAGCGTGGTCTCGCTGGCGGAGAGCGCGGCGTTCGTGGCGTACGAGGCCAGCAGCGTCGCGTCGGCCTTGGCCCCCTGGAGCGCCGTGATGCTGGCGTCACGGCTAGCAAGCTGCGCTGCGACGAAGGCCTCGGTGGCGAGACCCAGCAGGGCATTTGCTATCTTGGTGTCTACCTCCAGTGGAGTGTCCAGCCCGTCCACCGTGGAGAGCAGGGAGGCCAGCGCGCTGGCGTCCGCCTTGCCGAGGAGGGCGGCGTCCAGGGCCGCCGTGGTGACTGCGCCCAGGAGGGCCGCCGCTATCTTAGAGTCCACTTCTGAGAGCAGGGCGTAAGCTGTCAGCGCGCTGGCGTCCGCCTTGGAGGCCTGCAGCCCCGCGATGGAGGCGTCTCTGCTTGCGAGCTCGGAGGCCAGCGCTTCGGCGGACACGGCCCCCAGGAGAGCGTTGGCCACCTTGGTGTCTACCTCCAGCGGCGTGATCCTTGCCGCTATGTCTAGGGAGTGCTGGTCCACCACCGTCTTGAGGCCGTAGTTGGCCGCCACCGTGGCCAGCGTGGCGTTGTTGGCCGAGGCGATGGATCCGTTCATGGCCGCCGTGGTGCTGTAGTTGGACAGCTACGCGCAAGTACTTAAAGGGGCGCGCGTCTTAGTATGTTTTTGGCTTAGTTGCTGACGATAGCAAGTTTTGTAAGGTCAGTTGCATCTTGGCTAACACTAGGTTATACATCAAGTATGTAGCGCATTATCGCTAAGGAATTTGGAGGGTACATATAAATTGCGAGGTCAACATAATAAGTTTTGCACGTATTTACATGTAGTTGGGTGACTTGCAAGTAACATAGCATGTCAATTTGATGCATGTGTAACTTGGTTGGCCTGAGTTGGGCAAATCAAATAACTCAGTTACAAATCCGTTTTGTGACGTGTGTCGCCTTGGGTTTTTTGTTTTTCACCGATTTCATTTTTTGGTTTGAAACCACCAAAGCTGCGAGCGCGCACACTTCGCATTGGTCCGCCACGTCCGTGTCGACACGTTTTTTTCTGAAGTCACATGCATGAGTCGGAAGCCTTGAGCATGGCAATATATATTGCATGTGGGACACGTGCAGCCATTTGGCGAAATCGGTGCAGCCAGAAGAGTTGAAGAGGCCTTTCATTTCAGTTGCGTTGCTGGGTTCGGGTTGGGCAGCTGTAGCCAGGGATGACGCACTTTTCTTGAAGTGCTTCAATCCTGCAGAGGCGCTTCCGCTCAATGCACTTTTGCTCGCGGGCATGTTCTGCTGCACGCAGCAGTCTCCTGCAGGGTGCTTGCAGTGTTGTGCATGTGCATGTTTGTCAGCTTTTGCCGAACCTCAAGCAGTTTTTCTGAAATATGTCCATGTCGCCTGAGCTGAAGGAGGAGCTCACTCGCCTTTGTGAGGCTGGCGACTCCGGGGAGAAGCTGGTCTGCGTCGCCCAGCAGATCATGCAGCTGCTTCGGCAGAATGGGTTGGCGCACTCGGCCACCATACCGGCCAAGAGGATCGGTGTCCACCACCGAAACCGGGAAGGGTATGGGATCAACGTGGTGGACGTGCAAGATCTGATGCACGGAATGCTCTCCGTCGGCTTTTGCTTCTCCCGCGTCCAGGCTATATGCGTGGAGTTGCCTGGGGCCGACGTGCAGCAGTGCCAGGACTTCAATGGAAGGTTGCTGAGCACTGCAGGGGGAGCCCTTGGCCATCAGGATAACACGGCCATCAAGCATGCGTCAATTGCAGGGTCTCACACGAATTTTGTGTTGAGACTGTTCCTTGATGGGGTCCCGTCTGGCCACCCAGACGTGTCTGTGGAGGGCGCTTTGTGTTTGGAGCGGTTGAAAATGAAAGACCCCAGCCTTCACAAAGCCTGCGTGGAGGGTCTTCGTTGGGAGGTGATCCAGGCGGTCGTCGCAGAGCAGGTGCCCAAGACCATCGAAGTGATCCAGCGGGCAGGTAACACCACCTTGCACCGCCCAGAGCACGAGTTGCAGTGTATGCTCCGCATGCATTCCCTGTGGCGGGCCAAGCGCGCAGCTGGCCTGACAGCAGACTACGCTGCCATTCGGAAGCAAGCGCTTGCAAGCCAACCGCAGTGCAGCTCCAGTATGCCATCAATGTTCGTGTTTTTGCTGAGGCACTGCGGCGGAGAAGAGGCGCCCCTCCTTGAGGAGACGCAGAGATTTGTTCGGAGCAACAGCCCCAGCAACAGGTGCCTGCCCGCTCCTGTGTGGGCGCAGCTCAGCCATGACGTCAAAGGGTCTGTGCAGCAGTTCTCTCGGTTCCGGCACGGCCTCACGGAGACCACCGCACGCGCCATGTCTGCCAAGACCAACCGGCCATCCCTTGCGGCTGCTGAGGACATCATGTGCGAGATGTCCAGGATGGCGCTTGGGCTCAGTGAGGAGGTCCGGAGCAGGCATGCGTTGGTCACTGCCACCAGCCTCACAGAGATGGCCATGTGCAGCTTTGTCCTGGGCTTGCGCCACGCGCAGGGCGAAAAGCAATGGAAGAGTTTGCAGGCCATCGCCCATGACTGGGTCCAAGTGGTTCGAATTGTGACCGGCAAGGACCTT